CTGATTTTCTCTAGTCTGTTTTTCACGAGCTTTAGTTAGGCGTCGAAGCATTATTGAAGCTAATATTTTAGACACTATATTAGTCAAACTGATTCCTCTGTGATTGTCACAAGAGGACTTTTGTCTTTTCTTATAGACTGGCTCACTGCTAATACTGGGACCACCATCCTTAAAAATCTCAGGAGTAAGCCTGTCAGGACCTGTTTCTCTCCCTTGCTTCAGATTTCCTATAGCTTTTTCAACTTCGTAAAGAGTCGGAGGACCTAAATTAACTTGTCATTCAGGTTGACTAGAGATCGTGGGAAACCGAAGTGTGGCTGAAGGCAAGTTGAACTGATCCATAAAGTGTTCTGCCCATCGATCCAATCTCCTGGATTGAGAATGTATGATATGTCCATCTTTCTCTGAGAGTGTTTCGCTAACAGTCGGGTTCCTAATTCCGGTTTCCTTAACAAGTCTGAACAATTGTCTTCTATTAACTATTGCCGCTGCCTTTTCCGTCTCCTTAGCTTTCGCTACCCACCACTGTTCACGATCATTGCGTAGACTTCTTGTTAGCTTGCGCTTAAGCTGACTCCGCCCTTCGTTATGTTCAGAACCAGATGGAATGAGTTTTCGAGCGTTTATCAGTGCGGTAGATGCTGCTGAGATCCAGTGTTTCTCCCTAACCTTGTGGTTTACCGTACTTGCAGACATCACTGCTGTTTCCACAGCTTTTCGGATGTCATTCCATGCTGCCTCGGGGTGGGCATCACTTACATGGCTGCCTAACTGTTTTTCTAGTTGTTCCTGAAATATACTCTTAGCTTGACTATCATTAAGTATGACCCTAAGAGGTTTCCTTGCATCATCCTTCCTACGTCCAGTAAGAAGTAGACAAATACGCGCTCGTACTAGAGCATGACCTGAATCTAAGCATATGCTGCAGAATGAGCGACAGTCTTCTATCGAGCCCCTCCATTGGTGGCTGATAGCGATGTGATCTATTTGGGTCCAACGTTGGGAAGAATTCAGGTGTCGCCATGTTAAAAGATGTTTTTGCTTATGCTTAAAGTTAGTGTTTGCCAGAAACAGGTGGTCATTTGAGCATAGCTGCAACAGACGGTCGCCATTATTTGTTCTTTGAGCTGCGACACCATAAGAGCATTTCAATGAACTTCATCCAATGCTATGCGCCACCATTCTGATGGGAGACCTAAATGCCAAAGTTGGGTTGGACAGCACCGGATATGAAGACATCATGGGACGACATGGACTAGGAGAAAGGAACGAAAATGGTGAGAGATTTGCAAACCTATGTGCCTTCCTTCAATAAACTGGTCATAGGCGGCACCATATTCTCACATAAACGCATTCACAAAACCACATGGACTTCACCGGATCACACTACGCAGAACCAAATCGACCATATCTGCATCAACGAAAAGTTCAGGAGGACGTGCGAACCAAGAGAGGAGCTGATATCGCATCAGATCATCATCACATGCTGGTCGCCAAGATGAAATTGGAACTCAAGAAGCACTGGACAATGGGGCGGACAATATCACAAAAGTTCAATACGGCTCTTCTTCGGGATACTGACAAAGTCAATAAGTTCAAGAGAGTCCTCAGCAATCGATTCCAGTCCTTTCATGATCTACCCAATGGAGAGGGAACTATTATGGAGAGCAACTGGAAAAGGATAAAAGAGGCAGTCACTTCAACATGTCATGAGGTTCTGGGCCATAAGAAGCACCACCACAAGGAATGGATCACTGTTGATACATTGGATAAGATTCAAGAAAGGAGGAACAAGTAGGCAGCAGTCAATAACGGCCGAACAAGAGCAGAGAAAGTCGAGCCACAAGCTGAATACACAGAAGTAAACAAGCAGGTGAAGAGGAACATTAGAATCGACAAACATAAATATGTGGAGGATTTAGCGATGACGGCGGAAAAGGCTGCAAGAGAAGGAAACATAAGACAATTGTATGACACAACAAAGAAACTCGCTGGAAATTACCGTACACCAGAAAGACCACTGAAAAGCAAGGAGGGCAAAGTAATCACCAAAATCGAAGAACAGCGAAGCAGGTGGGTAGAACACCTTAAAGAACTCTTGAATCGACCAGCTCCACTGAACCCACCCAACATCGAAGTACCACCCACGGACCTCCCAATCGATATCATACGGAATTCCTATGATGGATTAAACTGCAAAATCGGGCATGAAGGATAGGTCACAGACTCGTTCGAAGTAAATACTGGTATCACGCAAGGTTGCTTACTCTCACCCTTTCTATTTCTCCTGGTGATCGACTGGATCATGAAGACGTCAACATTTGAGGTGAAGCATGAGATATAGTGGACAGCTAGAATGCAGCTGGACGATCTAGACTTCGCAGATGATCTGGCCCTTCTATCGCACACGCAACAGCAAATGCAGGAGAAGACGACCAGTGTAGCAGCAGCCGCAGCAGCAGTAGGTCTCAACATACACAAACGAGAAAGCAAGATTCTCCGATACAACACAGCATTCAACAATCGAATCACAATTGACGGAGAAGATTTGGAAGATGTAAAAATCTTTACATATCTGGGCAGCATCATTGATGAACACGGCGGAATCGATGCAGACATGAAGGCGCAGATCGGCAAAGCAAGAGCAGCATAGTTACAACTGTAGAACATCTGCAACTCAAAACAACTGTCAACCAACACCAAGGTCAAAATTTTCAACACAGATGTAAAATCAGTTCTACTGTATGGGGTGCAAACCTGGAGAACTACGAAAGTCATCATCAAGAAGATACAGGTGTTTATTAACAGCTGTCTACGCAATATACTTTGGATCCGTTGGCCAGACACTATCAACAGCAACCCACTGTGGGAGAGGATAAACTAAATCCCAGTGGAGGAAGAAATTAAGAAGAAGAGCTGGAAGTGGATAGGATACACATTGAGGAAACCACTTAATTGTGTCACAAGGTAAGCCCTCACGTGGAATCCTCAAGGCCAAAGGAGAAGAAAAAGACCTAAAGACACACTAAGTTGCTAAATGGAGACAGATATGAGAAAATGAACAAAAATTGGATAGAACTAGCAAGGAAGGCCCAGAACAGAGTGTGTTGTAGAATGCTGGTCGGCAGCCTATGCTCTAATGGGAGTAACAGGCGTAAGCAAGTATATTTACATATAAATTCACATGGTATTGTTTACTTGAATCTTCCTATTGATGTTTAGGACTGAAATTGATCAGTCTTATTGGTATATGTGCATACTGTGCGTAATGCCTCGATATTGCTGACGAGTCTCAAATAGAACGAAACGAGCGTCCTGGATTCCGCTGCTAGCCACTATCCATCTTTGCTCATAATGTTTATGAATCAAGGCACTGTTGAGGCACTACGCATAGTATGATCATATGCCAATAAGAGATTGATCAATCGCAGTTCTAAACATCAATGGGAAGATTCAAGTAAACAATACCAAGTGAGTTTAAACTCCATCCCATTGCAGAAGCAGGTGGCTATCAAGAGTCAGTAGCTAAATGGATAATGTGATGGCGTTTAAAGCGAACGTTACTAAATTTGAGTCACAGAATGAACATCAACTCTGGGATTGAGGTACATCCAGCTGACGAGTCCCAAATAGAACGAAATGTACGTCCTGAATTCCAACTCTAGCCACTATCCATCATTCCTTATTATATATAATGAGTTGATTGCGACTAAATTTGTAGTGCAGATGGTTTCTACCCTAGTTCAGTTATAAAGGAAATTTGACCTAATTTGACCATCAGAATTCATCACTAATTTTTATGAGACACCTATATGTCTTAACTCATTTGAATCTGTCTGTAACACAATCAATTGAATAAACTCGATAGACAAACATATGATCCAATAATATTAGACAGATAAACACATAGAGGTATATTTTAAGTAATTTACTCTAGTGATAAATTAAACAGACCAAATTAGGTCAAATTTTAGATAAACAGACAAACAGCTAACTTTCTTTAACAAAAAAAATATATGCTCATAGTATTTGAGTAGGAAAAAACCCTTGTCTTCCTGCCCCCCTCCCCCCTCCACTTTGTATCATTCGTTAATCGATTATGGAGGTATCTTTTTGTTTGAAAGTATATCGTATTACATAAATATTTAATTGGGATAGGTCATAGATACTTCTCTGTTTTTTTTGCCTCCTCATATTTTAATTTTTTTTTTTAAATTTTAGTAAAATAGTGTAATGTTAATTTTTTTTTTTAACTTGGCAACGTATTTTTACGATGTTTGTTGTTAAGATTATAAGGTAAAGAGAGAGAAAACGAAACATTAATTTAGTCTCATTTATTATGCAGGTTACATATTACATTGCTACTTAGCAAATAGTTGATTGTTTCATCCTATTTCTCAAATTGATGTTGTGAAATGTAAACAATTTTGCAACAAAAACAAACAAACAGATCAGCGAATTTACTTGGTATCGTTTACTTGAATCTTTATGACTACAGTTGATCAATCTCTTATGGGTATATGCGCATTCTATGCGTATTGCCTTGACATAGCCTTAATTCACAAGCATTATAAGCAAAGATGGATAGAGTGAACATCAACTATGAGATGCGGGCACATCCAGCTGATGAATCTCAAATAGAAGGAAACGCGCATTCTAGATTCAGTCATCCATCTTTGAAGATAAACGAATTTGTTGTTTTGGTCGTGCAAAATCCTGAAATTAAGGGGTTTTTTGAAGATAGTATTATTTTTTTTAATTATAAAGTCCTACACTTTAGTGTTATCGATAATAAACTATCAATTATTCGATTTAGTTGCGATCACTTACGATCGATGTAAATCACTGATCAACTAATTACCAATGAATAACTCACCTACTCATTAGTAGTATTAAATTTTCTGGCTGTCTACTACATCACTATCATCCTTATTGAATGTGATATTACTATGAAAGTGGAGATTTTTAATTTATTCAATTCAAGTACAATACATACTTACTTCTTTTATTCTTGATAATTCAAAATTTCTTTCAATTAGTTGACGTTCTGCTTCACTTCTTCTAGTTGATGTTTCATTTAATTGATTTCTTAGACGAGAAATTTCCAATCTATCTGCTTCAATTCGATCTAATTTTATAGATGAGATAGCACTTTGATCACCGACTGAAGTTAATCCATCTCCAGTAGTTACATTAGTAGTTGTTGTAGTTTCTGGATTGATATTCGATGATTTACCAGCTTTAACTGCGTCAACTAATCGTCGTAAACTTTCCTCTGTAGCATTTAGACTAGATTTTAAATTAGCTATACGTCTATCAGCATCTTCAATAGATTTTTTAAGTTGACGATTCTCTAATGTTAATTCGTCTATTTGACGTTTGGCTAAGTCTAATTCACTTAAACCATCTGAATCACTTGCACCACCACTGAAACGGCTACGATTTCGTTTATCACGTTCTTGACGTAAATCTGATTCCATATTATGCAATGTTTCTAACATTGTCTATTAAAGTATAAGATGAATAGAACAGAAATTATGAGTATTTTATATCTTTGGTAATAACAATAATAAACATACTACTACTACTACTTACGCCTTTTACTTCTCGTGGAGGAGCATAGGCCCCCACCTTCACTCTCCATCCAACCCTGTTCTGGGCAATCCTTTCCAGTTCTTTCCAGTTACTATTCATTCTTTCCATGTCTGCCTCGAATTCTCAAATAGTGTGTTCGCCGATCTTCCTTTTTTGCGTTTCCCTTCAGCATTCCAAGTTAGCGCTCACCTCGTGATAAAGTTTGGTGATTTCCGTATTGTATGTCCTATCCACTTCCAACTTCGTTTCATAATTTCCTCTTCAGTTGGAAGCTGGTTTGTCCTCACTCACAGTAGGCTGTTGCTGATGATATCCGACCAACGGACATTGAGTATCTTGTGTAGACAACTGTTTATAAATACTTGTACATTTTTGATGGTTTTAGTAATTCTCCGAGTTTCAGCTCCATACAGTAGAACTGTCTTGATGTTCGTACTGAAGATTCTCACTTCGGTATTGGTTGACGGGTGTTTTGAGTCCTATATATTCTTCAGTTGTAGTAATGCTGTCCTTGCTTTGTCAATCCTCGACTTTACGTCTGCATCGGATCCTCTTTGTTCATCGATGACGCTGCTGACCAGGTGCGCGAAAGATCCCACATCTTCCAGAGTTTCGCCATCAAGTGTGATTGGGTTGGTGTTCTCCATGTTGGATTTGAAGATTTTGCTTTTTCCTTTGTGCATATTGAGGCCTACTGGTGCAGAGGCTGCTGCTACACTAGTTGTCTTGATCTGCGTTTGTTCGTGTGTATGGGATAGGAGGGCCAGGTCACCTGAGAAGTACAAATCTTCTAGCTGATTCCGAGCTGTCCACTGTATTCTGTGCTTTCCCTCAGATGTTGAGGTCTTCATAACCCAGTCAACCAACAAAAGATAGAGGAAGGGGGGGGGGGTAAACAACCTTGTCTGAATCCGGTCCTTACTTAGAAAGCATCTTTCTACTGCCTTCCGTGCACGAATTTGCAGTGTAGTCCGTCATTTGAGTTCCGGATAATTTTGACAATCTTATCAGGAACTCCACAGTGTCGAAAAAGTTTTCATAATGTTCTCCTATCCACACTGTCAAACGCCTTCTCATAATCAACGAAATTGATGTATAGTAACGAGTTCCATTCAACTGATTTTTCGACAATAATCCGTATTGTCGCAATTTGGTCTGTGCATGACCGATCCTAACGGAATTCAGCCTGTTGATCTAGAAGTTGAGCATACACTGCGTCCTTCATCCGGTTCAGGAACACTCTGTTGAAAACTTTTCCTGGTACCCTGATCTGATTACAATTATATCACTTTGGTTTAAGTTTATAATGTATATCATTGAGATTCAAATTGTATAGTGTTATGGAATTGGAATATCCTTTGTCTGATCCTATACAGAGTAAAAATGTTGTGTAATTTTGGTGGAGTTTTGTTCTCAGAGCTGTTCTCTGAGCTCAGAGAACAGCTCTGAGAACAAAACTCCACCAAAATCATCCACCTGAGCTACAAATCTTCTCCACCATCTCAAGGTTGTGTAATAATTGACGAAGAAGAATCTTAAAGTTAGGTAACCCATCTAATCATCTGGTTAGCATTCATTTAAAAAACGAAAGTCACTTTCAAAACTATTCAGTGTTTTATAAACATTTATTTGGCTTGATAGGATAATGACCTTATTTCTAATATGTTTTAGTATACAATCAGTAATTACTGGTCAAAAGGTGTTTTCTATTGTTAAGATTTTGTTTGATTTGTATTGAATATTCTTTCTTATAGGGAATAATATTTCATTTATATCAGTGAACATTAGAGGAAAGTTTATCTTTACATGTGTTAATCTTCTTTAAATCCATTTTCAAATATCACAATTTCGATCTTGAATAGATCAATGGGAATATTGTTGATTCAGATTTTCTGTATGATATTTTTGTAAAGTAATACTGAGTATTAGTATCATAGAGCGTTTATGAACATTGTCATCTATTCATAGTTTACATCATGGATAGATCTTAGTTGAAAACCAGGATGTACTGGTGAGTTATTTCATCCTACCATTAGATTATTCAATAGTACATTCACTAATTAATCAGGGACGGAACACATGACTTTTAGGTTTCTCAGTGAACACTTAACCTTCAGATCACTAATTTTGCATCCAATAGTTTATGTTTCTAACTCTACTAAATTACTGAACCATTATCCAACTTCACAGTTGATACTTATCTTGTTCACAACATGACTGAACTCTATTGACCATAGACTCTATTAGGAATTCTGGGAATTACCTTTTAAAATTAGTCATTTATAAGGAAGAATAAAATGTCTTGAAAAACCTTCATATATAAAGCAGCAAGCCCAAATAAAGTTCATAACAGGTTAGCCCTAGTTATCTCATATAGTTAAGGTCAATAACAAATCGGTTACTTGGATGAATTGTATGCCTACTTTGGCTAGTATATTAAAGTTGTCTGTATGTTTAAAATTTATTTGCAAACAGACTGATTTTCCAATATTTTTGTCTAAGTTCCTTCGTTAGACCTTTGTAATTAGACCTACAAAAGATGAGATTACTCCTTTTAAGAAATAGGAGAATTCAACAGCTGGTGAACTACTGAAGAAAATTAGTATTCAATAACAATTCAGACATTTTCTACTAACCTAGAGTTATGATGAAAGAAATGATTAAATGATTTACGCCAATTTTCCAAATGAACAAAACGATTTCGAAGCTCAGTCTATAACCATTGATTCCGAAAATCAAGTAAGTCCCAACCAAGTAATCTGTACCAGCTTATATGGATTAGTTCATTAGTCAATTACTTCATAAACTTATCCTATGTCTTTTCTTGGTTTGTTTTTAGCCAACTCCTTCATCAGCCATCATCAGTAGTCAAAGTAGGAGATGGTTGAGCGTATTTAATCCAGGTCGCAGTCATCTCAGCTGATAGAGATTCATTATCACATCAACAGATTTTCATCGTTACCTATCAGTTGAGGCTGAAACTTAGCATTGTCTGAAAATAAAAAAATTGTGCTTCGAAAGCATCTATGACCGAATTTCAGCAACCGATGTGTGTCTTTTACCTTCAAGGACCATGTTTCACAGCCATAAAGTAACACAGTGGGTTTCTCCTCAATGTGTTCGTCCACTGACCGGTAGACGGACATCAAACCCACACTAAATGTTAGGCAATTTGGTAAACGTCACTTGGTGGTGGTCACTGATAAATAGTATTGAGAAGTAATTCCGAGGTTCCATTGAAAACCGTGATCAGTGTGTTTAATCACAACGAGTGTAAGAAATTTATGCATCAATAGCATTGGAAGATGATTGTGCGATATTGAGAATTTTTTAAGTAAAACATGCAAACCTTTGGATACTGACTCAGTAGTCTGGAAGTTAAGCGTTCTGCACGAGATTGAAGGCCTTAGATTTGATCTTCTTTGATAGTATCATGGGTGAGCAATAGTGAGGACTCAAAAACGACGGTGAAAGAACTATCTAGTGTCTCTTGTATCTCGGTGGCTTTTAAATAAAGATCATTCAGTTTTGACGACTATGAAAGTAATATATTTATTTATTTATCTGTTATAAGAAAGATACATGTGTAAGCTTACTTGTTTTTCCAATTGTAATTGATGTAAGTGATCAGCTAATATAGCATATTTTGCATTCTCTTCTTTACGCATTGCTCGCTCACGCTTCAATTCAGGACTCCAAAATGTACGTATGCTAATTGTACAGGCATTTAATTTCTCTCTAGTTACATGTAATTCATGTTGTAGTCGTACATATTCTCTTTGTAGTGTAGTAATATCTGTAGTTGGATTATGTGGAATTAAACCAGCTGGTATTGATGTTGGTTGTGTTTGTGGTAGACCTGAATAAACACCAGATCTTTGTAATGTTGCATAGTCAAGACCACCAATAGTTGGAAATGTTGGTACGCCTAAAGTACTACTGTAGTCTAGTAGTGGATTAGTAGGATAACCATAAATCGGTGGATTTGTACCAATACCAACAGCCCCGACGCCACCAACAGCAGCGGCAGCTAATAAACTATTATAATCTGTCAGACCTTGTTTTTCCAAATTCATATCATACGAATGCGCTCTTCGACCTGATGATGGGTTTGTTGAACCTAATATGCCGGATAATCCTGGGTTTGAACTAAGTGATTTCAATGTATATGATTGCCGATTAATTGGTTTTCTTGTCAATCGTTCACTTTGTGAATCAAAATTTCCTCTCAGTGTACCATAATATTCACCACGACGATCTAATGATGTTGTACGATGATCGATTCCACTTGTATCACCCTCAATTAACGGATCAATGTATGGATTATTCAGTCGTGGTGATGTTGAGTGTGGTTGTATACCGGAATCATACATTTCTCCATATTCTAAATCTTGTACACTAGCTGGTCTTTGACGATCATGTATCTCAGGATTGGAATCAACACCTTCAATGTATTGATGGGATGATAAATTAAGATTATCTCGATAATATGGTGATCTGTGTCTTCCACTTTCCATGTAATTTTAACAGTTCAAGATGGTGGTTGCTTTTCAGACCTTAAATGAAAATAAAATCATGTTGGTTACTTAACTGAAGTTAAAAAATTGTAGACTACTTCGTGATATAAAGAAGTATGGGTATATTTTTTAAGTGTGTCCAATTATGAAAATAATCAAAATGGCATTTTTTACTTATACTTCTCGGAGAGAAATCCCATTGGCTTAACTACCTAAATTTTCATGCGTATTTATTCATCGTTTAGAGTTAGAGGTAGTTTTACCAGCAAAATGAGTTGAAATACATTTAATCAAAAATTTGCAAGCCAAGATTCTTAGTACGCCATTATTAGCAATTGTTCACCAGCTGGTGTTAAATCGTCTTCAAATATCTTTTCCATTTAATAAATTCTCTCTACAGGTAAATTTCACAAAGGTTTATTGGGAAGTCAAGATGGAAAAACTAGACCATGTTGAAAACAGTCATAACCTAAGCAATTATATCTGCTAGTTGACTTTCATTATTGAAATCGATTAACTGGCTTGTATCTTTTTACACAAAATCTTACATCTTGATTTAAGACTATATGTACTTTGAGCTTCGTATCTCACTTCAATAATCTGCCAAAATTTTTAATGGATTGGACTATAAATGGTAGGATGTTACACTGATAAAATAAAAAAATTCATATTCTCGTGCACAATGCCGGATGGTTCTGTGATTATTACAATGTAAACAAAATGCTTTTGGATGTTAGTCGTTATTTCCATGTAACATATATAATAAGATTTAGTTATTATGTTGAAGGACAGATACAGAAAATTATTCGGATGTAATCTAAAATGAACTATTTTTATAGTGCTATTAATGAAACACTTACTGTACGAACGAGAATATTTTAAAAATTAACGATTAGCCCAGCAGTGACATTTCTGATATATAATTACTGCGACTAATTATAGATTATTGTACTCGGTTTTGGAGCAAACTATTGATATGAAGACTAATCGTAATGCTTGAATACCTCAACTGAAATCGAATGACTTCGGTTTGAAATTCAAACTTGTCGGTAATATTTAAATAAAATGAGAACTTATGTCATTAAATACATGGAAAATTATGGATAAGGCCATCCTTCAAGTATATGCTTTTAATTATCATGCTTTAAATGTAAAAAGTTTCACACAACTGGCTTCTTTGAAAAATTTGACCTACAAATGAAAAACTAGTGAATGCTGTCGTTTACACTAGAGACTAGACAAATGCTATACAATGCTCACATAGACGATCAAAGTTTCGGACAAAGCCATGGTACACACGTATGAAGCTTTACCAATGATTTAGTTCAGACAGCATTAACTGACACACGAGTATTCTGCTAAAGTCTGTATCATAATACCACCGAATATCATTAGAAAAAGATTTTGTCTATAGTGGATACAGCCCGTACTCCAAAATATAGAATCCCAGACATCTTAGAGGCAGAAAAGCTTGTGAATTGAAAATCGGATTAGTTAGTGACCGTTGCTTAAATGATCCAACAATGGGTACAATATAAATTTGACGTTAAAACTTTGAAAGCGAATGCGCGTAAGAACTTGATCATTGCATTTCGATAGTCACTAAGTTCTAAACGACCATGAAATTGACTGCTACTAAGTGACCACTCATCATGGAAACTCCATATCTATAAGAAGCCAGCCATAACTTAGCTATGAGTTAGCCTCCCTATCTGCAAGAATATGTTTCTGCAAGCATCAGTCTCTCTAACGGTATATCAAATACATACTAATGAGTATCAATTAGCCGGACTTAATATCAATCGAATCCAACTAGTCATTATTTTCGTAACTCTGGTTATTTCTGGTAAGACATTCCCAATCCATCAGAACTGAGTAACTATTTAAGAAAATAATGCGTAAGCCAATAAAATCAGGGCTTATTTAGAATCTACTTTTAAATCTTCAGATTTTTGGCGGTAAAACTAATATAAGATGCAGTATACTTTCAGACAGAAAAAATCTAAAAGCCAAGCGACACAATATTAGAGCTAGCTTGAACTACATCTTCGATTTAAATCTTGAATTGATACTATGTGACACGCCTAGGATTTTTATGAAAATAGAGTCAAAATCTAGTAATTAATTAAACATGGTTGAAGGATTATAACACGAGATTAAAATTGGACTTTTCTCATTACATTCCATGAAAATCTTGTATTTTAGTAGTTTTGCTCATGCAGACAGAGATGATCAAATTATGCAGTGAAAAACTTCATTATAATGAAGTTGTTATAACAAATGTTCTTGTGTATTTTTTGAAAACCTAACCGCACAACCATGTGATTTTTATTACAAAACTTCCCTCCAGCTGTACTAGTTGTGTGACGTATTTAAACCAACAACAAGGTGCAAACGCAAAACGAAGGGCAATGTAACTAGAAATAAAGATTTAGACGTTTCTTCTATTCTTACGAGTAAATAAACAACCAGACTTATAAATCTTAGAATTAAAACAGGTAAACGAGTTCTTAAAGAGATTAGTCGAAGTTTGGATCTTGGTGGACAAGTGGTAAAATGCTCCGCTATTGACACCATAAAAGACAGTTATCAAACAGTGCACTGCTTGGAGCTCATTTTAAATGCTGTAATAAAACAACATTCTCAAAATACCGATATGTCGGTTATAGTCACAATGTTCTCCAAGTGACTAGTCTATTTTTAAATAACTTCATTTTATTTTATATTTTTCATCACATCATTCCCTTATCTCATATTTAGTTGGATTCCTGTTGATTATTTCTTGTCTTGTATTCAATATAAATGAATATTTTTTCTTGGTCAGTTTTGTGTGTATGAGACTTCTGTATAATCATAATTAAGAATCCTTTTCGTTTATCCTCCTCATACTTTCAATTCCTGTGAAGCCTACAAGTTTCTTCCTCAGCTTGAACTAGAATTTTGTTGATGCCATGTGGATAGTGAATTCATGGTTAAGAGATCAATGGCGAAAGTCAGAACCTACTAGAAGTGATAAGCAGAGCCAATCAGGCAGATGTGATGTCAGACTAAGGAGAAAACAACGACGCTATCTCTGTTATACATCCTGTGGACGAGAATGACTAATGGGGCAATAGAGAGAAATTTGTGTCGTAAACTACAAGAAATCCATAAGCACATCTTTTGACCTTTTTGCTACTATAGTACAAAAAAATATTTAGTCAATCAAAGCTTGAGTATATAAATGATAAATTTGGAACAACTGACCGAAATTACTTTTTATAACTAAACGGATTGAATTCTAAGGATACGAAGCTTTCTTTAAAATCATCTCAAAATCCGTCATGTACATATTGAAATGAGGTCTTGAAGACGAAATGTTTACTACAAGAATTTAAAATGTTAGAAGCGTCAATAATCCTATCCACTCAAGTCACTATAGGGGTTTTAGACCTAGTTGATGAAGTCCAAGCTATCAAAACTAATGACAAACCAAGACATTCAGTGATCCAACGAGACAGGTGGTTTGTCCTCAATAAATCGTTTATTCTGTTGTTAAAGAGATTGTCATATAGGGGTAATATGAAAACTTCTGAAGAACAGCTTAGCATTTAACCATGGTTACGTTGGGTTGGGATTATAGCTTATATTTGCTGTGATACCTTTGTGTCAGAGATTTTGGGCGCATTCAATACATCACTTGATTTTAATAAACGTAAAACCTGTTGACTATCACAGTGAAATGCATGTCCATGACACTTGTTCAGCCTTCTTCGTACACAGCATTGTGATAAACACCTTGGAACATCATATTTTTATTGCCATCGAGCGACACCATCCAGGGAATACCAAGACAGTGTGTCAAATTAAACGCTTGAACCATATGGTGAACGTGTGGGATTCATGCCTAAAATTGACAGTAGTGGACTTATCTGTGCTACCATAAAAGTAGGCTTAATCTAATATTGTAAATTTGTCACGATATGACTCCCTAGTCTATCTGATCTTACTTCAAAGTCACATCATTTTCAATATTGACTTGTCCCACAGTGGTAATCAGCGGTGTTGTTTGCAAGAAGCTCTGAAGAATACATTCATGCTGGTAATGATGTAATGTGTTTAATTCAAAGAGGCCTGATTGGTTGTACCATACACTGACACTATTAATTCGTTTGTTGACGTATATTGGCGCCTACTATTTTTTCTCCATCATTCAACTTCCAGTTTGAAACCTCCAGGTTAGAGTACGTTCAGATTTTAACCTGGCCCCTGGTGACCGCTCAGCGTTCTTCCAGTATCACTACACACCTATGACAATTGTATATTATCTTTCAAACTAAAACACGTAATTGATGCCGTACGCTTAGTATTTCCACTTCTTCTGGTTGTTCGCATATAAGATTCAATTTGTTGACTCATGGAGCTACTTTTATCCTTTTCGAGATATAAATAATCACGAAATATCACACCACAAAGCTGCATAATTCAGAGATTTTTCACCTTCCTTTTGAATAACTTGAAATACTCATAACATCAAATTCCTTCAAAGTGCAGCGTGAATAGTAATTACCTACAGATAGCCTTCTTGAGTACGTTCCCCTACTGTCTCACACGGTCTTAGTCGAACTATAATCAGAACAGGTAATTGTGTATGTAGCCAGCAATTATAACCTGTTTTTGGATTACAAATTATTACAACTATTTTAAAGACGGAAAGTGGTAGTCGTCTACGAAGAGGACGATAAATGGTTTAGTCATGATTGATAGGTTCAGAGTAGAAACCAGACTAGAGCTAAATGATTTTTAAGTGATGGTTGTTTAACTCAAATACTTTTGGTTGATTCACTCATATCGACAGAGACCAACACTCCTTCCGAAACGACCACCCATACCTTATCAGCATTCTTCCTCTCCGAACCATCTGATTCTTTGAGTTAATGTAAACTTCGCACAATCCGGATAATGCTTTCGGCCGTATTAATCTGCCTTGCGGTTTTTTGGTCCATAGCCTATCCGATTGTCCATAGCACCGGTATCGGTTTAAATTTGTCTAAATTGGTGGATGAATAGCTAAAATATTTTTATTTAGTTCGCTATTATCAAAAACGTGCAGTTTCTTTCAATTTCTGTCATCTTGCACCACTTAAAATTTAAGTTTTTTTTCCATTACAGACTTGCTATTTATATGAACGTGATTACATTTATAAACGCATGTATTTTGTGATAATATCGTAGGGTAAAGGAATTTTCGTAGAAAGGGAAAAACATCCCGCTTTCATTAAATAGCTGCTCTGATCAGAAAATAAAGAGACTAATATCATTTATGGCACCAGTTTGGTGGCTGCATATTATAACCTGCGATAAAAAATTTGAAAATGTATTTTACGTTAGGGTGAATGCAGAGACCGTTGCATCAGTAACAGCAAAGTTTCAAAAGCTGGATGGAATTTTCATAGAAATTCACGAACAAGGCTGATGGAACAACTGCGTTTCGTAAACATGGCAGAAATCGAATAACCGATTTCCAAGTTACGCGCAAAAGTGAAAGATGCCTCTAGAATGAATAAATATATCAATGAAATACTGTAGGAACCGATCGCAAGCATTAATTTAAAGGATACTGGAGCAAACTTGTATGCTCCTTCATGCGGTATATTAATGGCCTTTTCACAAACACGCTCTACGTTGTGTTCAAACAATGTTATCCACGATGTGCATTATGCAACTAGCAAATTGTCAGGTTTACAACAGGACGACATAGAAATGACATAGAAATGTAACAAGTCAAAGGAGTCAGTATTCTGATAAACAGTTTCGTCACATGATATCTAACGGGCCATAGGACATATAATTCGATAAAGTTTTTTTCTCTGGGCTGGATGGTTTGTTCGTGGAGCTTTCATCATTCTTCTGGACGACATCAGCACAAACTTTAAATTTCTCTACATGTGACTCTGTGGATAAAGGCGACTCCGAAAACACCAGGGAACTTTTTGAAGCTTAACACTCAGGTTAATCAGCAATAAAGAAGTACATTGAAATCGATCCAATTTATCAACCAGTCAGGAAAATTATGCACAAACATAGAAACAAAAATCAAACCAATGGGAGATACAACGAAAACAAAGTAAATAGTGACAGGTTTAATGTCAACAAGAACTAACGAACATCGAGGTGTACAGGATAAGCTGTGAACCACATGTGGAGAAATTTGAACAGTTCACACCTACCTGAAGTTTGTGTTGATGTCGCTCAGACGAAAGATGAAATCTCCACGAAAATACCGTCTAGCTCAGAGAAAAAACTCCACCAAAATCATCCACCTGAGCTATAAATCTTCTCCACTTTCGCATATAATTTGGCAAGGACGATATTGAATGAAAAAAGAAAGCCGTAACAAATTGATGACGTGGAATGTGGTAAAAAGCTTTAGTAATCTCCGGGAGATTTTGGAACTAACAAAATCACCGTAGCATTGAAAGAATGGCACTTTCTCGTATAATTACAGTCACTATCTCAGAAGCAACGGCAGATATTTAGGAACAACCATTTGGAGATTTTAGGGAAATTACTCTCAGGGCTGCTGGATTATCTACTTTTTGATTATATGAAGAACATTGGTGGCTTTATTTCTAAATCGCGTACAGGAGTGGAAAATGGCTGCAGAATGAATGTGTCAGTGGAGGATCGCATGAATCGTTTGTGGGCTGTTTGTTAAGCGATACACTGTCAGTCAAACATGACCTCAAGAAATGGCCGTTTCAGTAACACCCTGTGGAATCTTAAGACTTAGTTTTTTTCCGAAACAAAATGCTAATTTAGCGGATTCTCGTGCCTACTGGAAGCCGAGTTCATGGTAAATGAACACAAATTGTGGCGGTACCGGGGGATCACGAAACCGAAGACTACGTCAATGAAGCTCAGTCCAAAATTACATGCGGCCCCATTGGCTCTGCACAACTCTGAGACCAAACCCCAGCCAAAACAAACTTATGGTTCATATGATATTTCCCCAGCAAGCTTGAGGGGCTTATATTTAGAAAATAATCAAAGAAGCACAATGGATGCATGTACATCAAAAGAAATCAACGATCACTGTGGAACAAATGTTCATAATGAATCATTGTCCGTTCAGACTTTTCATGTTGTTTTACAAGATATGGGTTTCCACACTGATTAGCATATTACTAGTGGAATTCCTTATAATCAAGATGAAAGTATGTCGAATGAATCACCTTGTGATTGGAACTCTGGTCCGACTTTTTAAAATGTTGATTGTCTTAGTGATTTGTTATCCAATGAACTCCACAATAAATTTGAGAAAGATATTTCAGAAGAACAAATCCTGACAAAATTCTTGATTGTGTCAAGTCAGATGTTATTAGTTCTCACCATATTTTTTGATGCAAACCTTGAACAATATGAGGCACGAACCTAAATACACTCCTGGTATTTCAATATCAAATATTGTGTACCTTTACAATGCATTCATTTCTAGCAAATTCCGTAGTCAGTATGAGAAGTATGTTTTAAATGTGTCACATGCTTCTTATTGACACAATGAGTTATAAGACGTATTCATCATTATTGCGACTGTAAGAATCGCATCTTATTTTTCGTATGAGATGAAAAAAAGGCACCATATATAATAATGTCCATAAAAATCAAGATAGCGTAAACGGTTTTTTAAGCCTCAAGTAAATGAACAACATCAGATAGTCAACTCACAGCTAATGACTTAAAAAGCTCCACCATCGTGGGATTCAAAAACAAAGAAGAGTATATTTATATTATCGGTTTTGTATAAAAGGACACCACCTCCTTTCCTACATCTATGCCTGCCACTCCTTAGGTAGTGGCATCCGGGTAATTCTGGAGTAACGTCGAAGTCATGGACTAACCAAGTTTCTGTTACAGTTACAATGAGTGGCCTTACTTTGTCCACCAAGGCTCCTAGTATAATTTTAGCTCAGATACCTCCTTTGACATCTGACATAGGTGAACTAGTTCATCCTTAGCAGCGAAGACTGGAGGGTTGTCGTGAAGCCGCATTCTCATTTAAGATTAACTACCTCAAGGACATAAAGCGTTCTAGGTAGACCGGGAGTTTCAAACTCGGTGGGTTTGTTTTTTTCGGGGAGCAGACATCTCAAAGAAGGTAAGTTTTAGTTTCGAGTTGTTTCTCGCCAGCGAGGAAATTCTTGGGAAAATATGCGCTGTCCATCTCGGTTTGGGGGAAGGGGCCGCATTTAGATACATTGTCGCATATATACACACCAACTTCTAGAAGCCCGTTAAGCGTAAGCTTCTTCTATTCCGTCCACAACCATTTGAGCTCTTAAGGGTTTTATGTAAAACTCCTCAAAGTTCACCTTTATTTCCCTTTTTTCTGGTAAGAAAGATTTGCCGATGTAACTGGGTTTTGATGAAACTTTTTCGCGATCAATAATTATAACATCTGACTCGTTGTATTTAGCACCATACTTTCGAATTCCTATTTGGTCTTCCTACTTCTTTGAGCTTTTAATAAACTTTACAGCATTCTAGGTGAGGTTATAACTTGTAGATAAACCAGTGAAATTAAAGGTAACAGACTTTGCATTTTGGTGTGAAATTTAATCGCCTGTATGGTTAGATTGTAATGCTAGTGCCGGTTTGTGATGCAAAACCAAACTCTAACCCTAGTTTCCTACACTAATTTGTAACTCTGTTGACCTTAGTAAGTGAGCAGGTTTTCTCGAAGTTACTTTGGCGTCGCTCACAAGTCGTCCATCAATTATAGCCTTACGTGAGGCTATAATATTTGTCCTACGCCGCACTCATTCTCTAGAAAGCCACAAAGTGCACGTTGCAATAAAATTAACTACTGAAGAACTTAATCGAAAATCTTGAAAAGTGTACTGTAAAAGTCACTTAATTTTGCGTTTTGAGAATAGAAGATCGGAGGTTATTTTTTGGTGTTAGACGACTCTGTGTTTGATCATCGTTGTCTCTGAAAGATTGCTGACATCCAGTGGCAATACTGTGTTAGTAATGCAGAGGTTCGGCATTGTGTGTTCGAGCACAGCGACGATAATTCAATTGGTATCATTATCTTAAAACATCGACTTCGGTGGCTTGAACACGTTCTACGAATGTCGTTCGAAAAAATTCTACATCGTGCATTATTTGCCGACGCTGGGACTGGTTGGAAAAAACGAAGCGGTGATTATTGTTTGACATAGTGTCGCGGTATGAACGAAAGCTGTACAGGACTGGCTTCTGTTTATCCTTCACGACTCCCTGGTTGGGATCCTAGAAATGGTGCAACACAGTGGCTAGAGACGTCATCACACATGCCTCATAATGGAAGCCAGTGGCGATTCTGCTATAACTTTGTTTTACTTTCTTCATAAAAATGGACGTAACTTCTTTGAATGGAAGAATTTCTGGCTATACCTTTGCTAACTGATCTGCTTCTCTCATTATTATTATTTCACTATCATACACTAATTTCTGTTCGTCATCGTCCCCTTTTTTCTTATACACACCCTACATTCTCTACCTCTTCACATTCTCATTGTTATTGTGTGGCGCATATGTATTTGGTGCTCCTTTGTACTGATATGTATGTGTTCAAAAAAATAAATAAGTACTCAAGTTAAGATTGCGAGATAACACCGTAGTACTTATAGTATTTTACATGCCATAGTAACCAATAATGTGTAAATTACATATTAGTATAACGATCCAAATATTAAAACAACCAGTGTCGTGACAATACCAAAAAGTCACAACAATACTGTCAATCCCAACACTATGAGCGACTATTATAATTATTGTGAAAACCTAGATACCAAGCGTTTTTATTCGGAAATCTTTACCAAAAAGATTCGCTTATCTAACTGGACTATGCGGATAACGTAGTCATATTTGGTGAAGACTTCCAAAACCCAGTGTTTCAGATGCCTTAAGCCATAATGTACGCTTGATGGGATCCGTTTCTCTCCCACTAAAATGTGCTTCAAGATTGATTCACGTAAGAGCCTAGAATGATCGTAAGTAGTGAATCAATCGGACACGTTGACAACTTTACTTATCTTCTAAGCTTCTTCCTCCCTCGTTAGTTGATCTGATGATATCTCAATGCACATTCAGAAGGCGAACTTTGGTCCTAAACTTGCGTCAATTGTGGAGTGACAAAATGGCTGCTCACCAGCTAAAAGGCAATTCAATTGATTAGAAATATACTATTTGGTTGTTGAATGTGGTCCGCGAAAGTAGAAAGTCGTAGGTGCTTCTAAAGCAATGATTGGATATCATGGAACAGTTAAGTAGGCAACACTGTAACTAAGTATAGGATTCTAAGAAGATCGGTTGGTAAGGTTAGGACTCTGTATCAATCGAGAGGGTTAGACATGTATTAGGTATACTCAACCACTGCCTACCTAGACTCTTTGTTGAAATAAGTTAGAAAAAGGCTAGGGGTGGATAAACAAGCGGATTTTCAGTTCAAAAAGTCATTGATTGTTGGACCGAGTTGTGTTGTCGGATGAATACTTCATTGTTTAAGGTAATGAATGGCATAGCTCACAACTGGTTAGTAGTGAAGATCTAATCACTGTTCATCTTACATTCAGCCTTAAGCTCTATCTATTTTCGAACCGTTTTCCCGATCATTGTTACTAAATCATACGGACTCGTTTTTTGTTCATTTTGTTACTTTCATCTTGCGTAACTAATGTGTATATTTATTTATTTTAACACACAGATATTGGTACAAGAAGGCACCAAATACATATGCGTCACACAAATCTCATTTGATATGTGTGAGGGCTGTGATACTGCCCGGGTGCCCGAACCGAAGCAGGTGGTTTTCTTAAGGGGCCACACCCGGAGCCTTCGACCTGAAGGTCTGACACACAAGGCAGTGGAGCATCGTAAGGAGATGCAGTCCCATGGTAGCCGGTGACCAACGATTGGTTCATACGCCATTTCTTCCTTTAGGATGCTGGAGCCCATGTGTACCAGTGGTTTGGAATCAGGGTTTTCCAACTCCCCTAGGTGGACTCTCCATGACCACCAACCCGGTTAAAGCGCCAGACATTCGCTTTTTGCCCTCTCAATTTCGTAAACAACACCCCCGCCCCGAGAAGGCAGTGAGTAGGACTTCCCTGGCAGAGGCTATATATGCATGGCCATATGACAGCATTTCGAGAGGGAAAGCGGACTCCCCACTTTCGGCCGTACCAGGGCATTTGGGTGCGATGTGTATATCAGGTTGGGCGAAAACTAACTTATGCCAGGCTCTGTGTTGTTTATAATTTATTTGAAAATCCTGTCATCCACATCTTATAAGCGTTATGTTGCCATTATTAATCTCAAATTTTGCTACTTATATATATATATATATATAGCTTCTATGTATTCTTTATTGGTTTTTACCTTTGTACTGTCTCCATAGTACTATGTCTGGTGTGAAAGCTGCAAGGCCAATTCTGTCTAGAAATCATGCAGAAGCTCGAAGGCGAGTCATTAGTTTATATCGTGCCTGGTACAGACAACTTCCTTATATACCAAAAGAATATGCTCATAGTAGCGTAGATCTTACAGTGCCTGTTTTGTATGCAAGATTAAGGGAAGAGTTCCGTAAAAATAAGGATATTAAAGATTTACGTATAATTGACTTGTTAATTCACAGAGTATGTTGAACTTCACTTTATCTAATCGTATTATTTTTAGTGGCAAAATGAACTAATTGAAGTGGCGCGTTTGTGGAAGTCTGATACGCATGTGATGGATTTTTTTAGAGAAGATCATCTCCCAGAAAAGCCGAAAGATTTCTTGGATAAATTTCTATCTGGAAAGCAGTAATATTTACGAAACTTTTGAATTGTAGAAGCTTTTGTTTATAGTGTGGTAGATAATTTTTATCTCAGAATTTTTCTACTATATGCTGAAAGTGATACGTGACAGCATGAAATAAGACTAAATATTTACCGAGGCTTTGAGCTAATACCAGTCTCAACCTGCTTATTGTAGATTTCCAGTAATAGGTCTAAAACCATTCCCAGCTAATCCTTCAGCAGCTGGTGAGCATACATAAAATTGAAGATAATTACGTTTAGAAGGATCATTAAACTGTCAAACACATAAAACCGCCATCATAACCAGATCGAAGTACATTGACTGGAACGCTAACTATGTTATGCTCGCAAAAAAGACTGGTTGGGAAGTAGTAAACGGTAATTTCCATGCATGATTACACCGTAGTACAGTAGTAGTGTCAAGGTGTTCCTCATTTTCAACGATATTATTTTGCCATGGACAGGTGTTAGAAAACATTGACCGTAAAAAATCGCAGCCACACTTCGAAGGAAACTTAGGGGGGGGATTCAGTGTAAATAATTCCGAGCGAGGAACAGTAGTATACCCTAACATGCTAGTAATACAAGTACTTAAGAATGTTGGTTGACGAGTTAACTGTAGTAAATCTTAAGAATCGAGTGTGATCCTGAAAATCTAGTTTGGGTCCAGTATGTAGAAAAGACAAGAACCATCTTGCCATAATCACAACCGGATCGATCTGACTAACATTGGTTTTACGACCAGCGTTAATTACTTTTCAATGTCTGAGACATGAAGAGTAAAACCAAGAAATACCTCCCGTTATGTAGACCAGACTCATTTGCTTCGAGAGGACAAAAGTACTTACTGACCCCTTAAGTGTAGCCAAACCTTTTAATCTTGAATTGTGTTTTGATTTGGCCAATCAATAAAGTTTAGAATTCCCACTTGGATGAATGTGGATTAGGTATATCATACTGCTGAAAGCTTCATATTCGAACACAAGAACGAATCAAACTAAATGGTGGATAATGTACAGTATGATTTCGCATGTCCTTCTCTACACAAGTTTTCTAAAGATATATTGCTGCTTAGCTTTTAAAGGAGTCTAGGGACATTTCTCACAGACCAAACTTAAAGAATCGTTTGGTGGTCACGTTTATGGCGATATCCATTATAAAAATAAGATGTAAAGTTGATGATCACTTACAGTTGACGCTATTTCAGTACGGATACAAACAATTTCTTTCTTGGTTCATGCTACCTTTAGGACAAGTGAGATATGTATTTTGGTTACCGTCAGGGGAGAGTAGTGGCAATAGCAAGACAGTATTCAATGATCTAAAAGATTAGACTTCATAAAGAACGAAATATATACACCAGAACATTCATATTTTATTACACTGAGTACATATACAAAAGTAAACAGTATGGTACAAAACGGTTAAAAAAACTATTTTAAAAAATACACTAAAATATGTTGAACCGGGACTACAAAGCCATCCCAGTATAAAATAAACAATGCCTACTTAACAAAAGGAAACTGTATGATGTTATATAGATCTTCCACGGGATTATGATAAAATGGATCCCCGAGTAGAAGCTTATACGATCCACATAAAAGCAGTCCAAATAAAATGACACAAAGACAGATCCGTAAAGATGGTATACAAGTGGATACGACATCTGGAAAAATAATTAAAAAAGTGGTTAGTTTGTAATACATCAATTCAATTGAATAATTGCAAATAAATTATAGATCTTATTTGCAAATTGATAATTTACCTATAAAGTAAACGTCTACAAGTCATTATATGGTAAACATTATTCGTGGGCACATACTACAAGTAGTTACCGATTCCTTGACGTTTAAATGTCTTGGAGTGAGATACATGGTGTACACTCAGTCAAACATATAAACCCAGTTTTAGCGTACAACTTATCGTGGGAATTCATACTTGTTATAAGGATATTCAAGAAAAACAGCGTTCCTTGTGTTTATTCAAAAACCACAGAGCAGGAAGACCTACGGCTTACTTTGCTTGGGAGCTCAAATAACTATATAAACCAAGTCATACTGCCGATGCATGGATTCGTAGACAGCTAGTTTGACGCGACAACTTGGAAACCCAGATCGTGCAGATTATTTTAATAATTTGAAGAAGTTGGTTTGCCTCAATTGTACTATTTTTGAATTATCACCGTACAAGATTCATATTTAACCTCCAAAACCGATAGAGCACCTTATTAGGTGATGACCCTGCGTAAACCACTGATTCTACGCTGCTTATTTTCAAACAGAGTACGACTGTCATTTGGTAAAAATCGTTGAAGTATCATGTCAACCGAATCAACACTAAGATTCAGTATTATTCTATGTTGGTAAATAGTTAAGATGCAGAATTTAAAACGAAAAAATCTCAGTCGTAGTAATTAACAAAATAAAACCTGACCGTAGCTGTCACATGGACGTGCCGAGCACACTTGCCTATGGTGAAGTGTTGTTTGAATAAGTGAGACAAACTGCTAAATTAAGTCGATGAGATTGGGAACTAACCCAGGTGATTGATGTTTAATATGATCATACACCTGTGACGTCGAACGTTGAGAAATAATTAAGATATGGGGCATATTTGAATCAAGCACACCGCGAAATTGGATTATTCCATAATATCGCCTATTTTTTTTGAAGTACAATAATAAATGTAGATTTCGTAGTTAAAACTCATTAAAGAATTTCGATAGAACAATGAGAAAACGGAGTTTATCTGAAAAATGTGATGTATTTGCGCTATGCATTTCGAATAATCTGGTCACACATATGCTTGTCAGAGCATTTTTATATGAAAATTAATAAAGGTCATTAAAGAATGAGAATGACAAAGATTTAGTCGCTAACATTTCTGAACCTTCACAATTTTTGTTACACATCTATTTGTGGTCGAAACCTAACTCTGACTTTTACTTATCTTGTAAGTCTTGCCTGACTGACGTTTCAAAGTTTTTCCACCCAAATTGAGACACTATCACACTAGTGCCCAAATTTTCCCGGCTAAGTTAGAAAAACAATTTTTTTACCATAACGAAACATAAACCTGGAGGTAAGGTTGATTCTGTTTAATCTTAGTTGACCACAGATACGTGCAAAAACTAAACACAAAAGACAACCAACTTACTCGTTAATTTAGAGAGGGAGGAAAAGCAACAATCGAGAATGACAGACATCAAACCAATGATGACATACAAAAAAGATTTTATAAGATTTTCCCTGATGATTCCTTTCGTGTTGTGAAACATCTTTTGTTTGTTGGGCGGTTCACGACATTTTGTTGACGATAACGATGGAAACCAAGCCAAATCATCAGCGTAGGGGTCATCTATTCCTGGTCGGTCTGGATGTATAGATCGACGACGATAACTTGGAAGTCGAGAAACACATTCTAGTATGGGGGATGAATGGTTTTGCACTGGTAACCCATTCATAAAACTTGCAGATAGTTCTTTAGTAGACAAGGGTCTAAAGTAGACATTTGATAGAGATAAAAACAATATGGATGATATAGACACTAAGACTTCATGAGAAAAATGCACGTACAGAAAATGAGGACTTCTTGCTAATAATTATCAAGTACCTATAGCCTTTGTTACTGACCTTCATTCAGAACAGTAGATTGATACATGGACCACTAACAGGTACGAAAATCGATTTGGGCAGCCAGGTAGTATCACTACCCCTCGAAGCTGAGTACACAGAAGCAGTACTTAATAAGTTACATTTACCTCTAACGTACACTCCCAAAAGCAATCTCTATATTTTAATCATTTTAATAGAAAAGGCTTGAAACAAGGTGCTAAGGTACGTGCAATAGAAAAATAAACGGAAAAGAGGAAGTTGTAATAGCCTTAAGGACAAAATAGCAACTGACATAGTTTAAACAAGAATACAACCAGGATAGATTTACTACATATTAGTGGTATATCTAAATGCTTAAGAAGAACACAATAGTAGAAAAAATAGCACAGGAGCATCGCCAGCTTTTAATGTGAATAATTTCTGGTAATTTTCAAGCTACTGGTAGTCATGATATACCGTCTGACAATAACTGGGTACAACTATTCTCTATTTCACGATGGTGCGTCGAAAGATGAACGCGACTGCTTCCTCATTCGGTTCTAGAGTTACCAAATGTACGTTAGTATGGGAATTTTTGGGTGATGAGTCTCATTTATTCTCAAAGCTAGACTAATATTAGTTTTACTTGGCTGTCGCTACCTTGACGTGGTGGTCGGCTTTGTCTGTCGTAATGAACCAATCGAGTTATACTAACTGGAACAATCGTTTCTCAAGGTTCTACCATACCAGATAGGTTGGTTGGAGAGCGATAAGACTAAAAGCAGCAAACCCAAGGTCTGGAAGCGAAGTCGTACTGCTGACTGTGCAGGTGTGACGGCAGTAAGGTGTTTCCTTCAAACAACCAGCATGACAGTGATGCTGCCTTCCCACAAGGAGAGGTGGGGTTAGAAAAGGTCGACCCTAAAAATACACACCTCGCCTTATCCCACCGACTTCTGTCTCCGGCGTTAACGTCTCAACAAGTACGGAGCTAACACAAAAATTACCCATCAAAAGGTCGTGTGTGACCGACTTCGAAGCAGTTGTCCCTTGGGCACTGCGGTCACGCTCTCAGGTCACTAAGACCACCTCTAAACCAATTTCTTTCTTAGGTACCTCCAGAAGAACCCTTCCACGGTGTGGGCAACCGGGAAGTGATAACCACTCTCATACCTCTAACAGCACTCAGGATCAAAGTATTCATAATCAACCTCCCTCTTCAATTCCTATTATTCCTCCTACATCGACTTCAAACTCTAAACTTCTTATTTTGGCTTCCCCCTCAAGTGTCACCATAGCCAACGATTCTAGTGCGCAAAACACTGTCCCAGGTCTACTGAAACCTCGCTCCAAATTACACATTGGAGCCTTCAATGTACGCACCCTATGTCAAGTCGGTCAACAGGCTTCCTTGGCTAAAACCTTAGAATCTCGTACCATTGATGTATGTTGTGTCTCCGAAACACGCATACAGGATTCCAGTGTGGTTATTCACTTGACCTCACCTCGGCAAAACGGAGAGCCAACGAGATACACCCTCCGTCTATCTGGTGACCCGATGGCTAGCTCTCGTGAACTGGCAGGAGTAGGGATAGCACTAAGCATGAGGGCGGAACAAGCACTGCTAGAGTGGATCCCCGTCAACAGTCGTCTATGTGCTGTTCGGCTAAACGGCTCCGTAAGAACTCAGAAGGATAGGGACACACGTCGTTGCCTTTTTGTCGTTTCTGCCTACGCTCCCACCGACTGCAGCTCAGATGAAATGAAAGATGAATTTTACAGAAAGCTATTTGAACTTTTTCAGAAAGCTAAACGTTCAGACATAGTCAGTCAGTCAGTCAGCTACAACGTAGGACCAGGCACATATGTGCATCGGTCCAGGTTGCCATACCTCATTAGCACAGCAAGATGAACACCGGATTCATAGGAGTGGTTAGGTCAAAGGTTGCAATAAGGATATAGTATAGGAAGAAAGAATTAGTTCGCAGAAAGAAAGATATGAAGTGATTTTAATCTCTTAGTTTAAGGGAAGACAGGAAGTGTATACACCGACGCCATTGTGATCGATTCTGAGCCATGTCACCAAGAGTCTTCAACCATTGGTTACGAAAGTCACGCGGACCCCAACCAAGTAGTCTGCATCTACCAACATGGCTCAGACTAGAAGTTAGTGACTTCAGGCACTGATGCCACGTTTTGCTTTGGCCGCCCCTAACTTTCTTCCAACCATCCCCTACACCGGATAGCATTGCACGTCGTGGTAATCGGTATTCAGGCATACGTAATACGTGGCCCAACCATCTCAGTCGATGAAGATTCATAACCTCATCAACTGATTTACCATCATTCCCTAATACCCTGCGTCTAACCTCACTATTACTTACCCGGTGATCCCAGCAGATGCCAGCAATATTTCTAAGGCATCTGTGGTCAAATACTAGTAGCTTACGGGTGTCTTCCACTCTTAAAGGCCATGTTTCGCTGCCGTAAAGTAAGACAGAACGGACTGCCGCGCAGTATACTCGTCCTTTTATTGATAGACGGATATCTCGCCTCCGCCAAAGGTGACGTAAGTTGGCAAAAGCCAAACGAGCTTTTCGAATCCGTGCTGAGATTTCGTCAGACACCAACCCATTAGGGCTGATCAGACTTCCAAGATAAGTGAAGTTGTCGACGCGTTCGACTACTTCACTCCCTATCCTTAGTTCAGGTGTTGACGCAGACTAGTCCTGAAGCAACAACTTGCATTTAGAGGGAGAGAAGCGCATCCCAAACATTCTGGCATTGTTGCTTAGTGCTACCAGAAGACTCTGCATTTTGTCAGCGTCTTCACCAAACAGGACTATGTCATCTGCGTATTCTAAGTCGATAAGTGAACCTCCTGGAAGGAGATCAATACCCGAGAATTCAGTCGACGAGAATGTTATTTCCATCAATAGGTCTATGATGAAGTTAAACAAAAATGGAGAAAGCGGACAGCCTTGACGGACACCACTTGAAGTTGCAAAAGTAGATGACAGTTCGCCATAAGCTCTGACTCGACTAGTAGTGTTCGAGTAAAGAGCCTTCACAAGGTTTATGTACTTCTGAGGTACGCCTTTCAATGACAGACACTGCCACAGAGTCTCGCGGTCTACAGAATCAAATGCTGCTTTTAAGTCAAGAAAGACCACCATCGTCGGACGCCGATAGGTATGCCTGTGTTCTAGAACCTGACGAATGGTGAATATGTGGTCGATGCAGCCACGACCAGGTCTAAAGCCAGCTTGGTTCTCTCGAGTTTGTAGTTCACGAGTCTTAGTTAGGCGTTTGATAATTATCGAGGCCAGTATTTTAGATACTATGTTTGTTAAACTAATCCCTCTGTGGTTGTCACAGGATGATTTTGACCCTTTCTTATATATTGGGACGATAAGTGATTGCGACCAGTCAGATGGGATAAAGTCTAATTCCCAGATCTTAGCTAAAATATTAGTCAACCTAATCGCTAAAATTGGGCCACCATCCTCAAAGACCTCTGGAGCCAATCCATCTGGACCAGCTGCCCTTCCTCGTTTCAGATTAACTATAGCCTTTTGAACTTCAGCGAGAGTTGGGGGACCTACTTCAATGTTCCATTCACACTGTCTGGGAATAGAGGGTAGTTGTACAGTAGCTGAAGGCCAGCTGAACTGTTCTCTAAAATGTTCCGCCCATCGTTCTAAACGCCTGGACTGGGAGCAGATGAGAGTATCATCTTTTTCCGAAATAATCTCACTTACACTTGACTTATTAATTCCAGTTTCTTTTATTAGTCTGTAAAGCTGTCTTGTGTTCCCTATAGTCGCCGCCTTTTCCATCTCTTTTGCTTTCGTTACCCACCACTGCTCACGGTCGTTCCTTAGACTTTTTCTTAACCTAGATCTGATTTGTTTTCGCTCTTCATCATGTTCAGAACCTGATGGGACGAGTTTACAAGAATCTATCAGTGTGACAGACCTTGAAGAAATCCACTGGTTCCTTGCAACTCTGTGGTTTAAGTCACTAATAGATGTCACTGCTGTTTCCACAGCTGATTGTATGCCCTTCCAAGCAACATCTGGGTCAGCCTCGTCTTCACAACTACCTAAGTGTGACCTCAGTTGTTCCTGGAACCTACTTTTGATTTTCTCGTTACTCAACTCAGTTCTAATGGGTCTTTTTAATGTGGCTTTTTTGCGTCCAGTGAGGCGCAAGCAGATGCGTGCCCGTATTAGGGCATGGTCGGAGTCCAAGCAGGTACTCCAGAATGAGCGACAATCTTCTACCGACCCTCTCCAACGATGACTGATGGCAATATGGTCTATTTGAGTCCATCGTTGGTTTGGTGTAGGGGGTCGCCATGTTAGACGATGTCTCTCCTTATGCTTAAAATTTGTGTTTGCTAAAAATAAACGATTGTCTGAGCATAGCTGCAGCAGACGATCACCATTATCTGTTCGCTGTGTCGGAACACTGAAATATCCACCTAAATGGCTTTCTGTTTGGTTTAAGCTACCTATCTGAGCATTAAAATCACCTGCTACGAGTACTATGTCTGAGCGTTTAGCTTTCTGAAGAAGTTCGGACAGCTTTCTGTAAAATTCATCTTTCACTTCATCTGAGCTGCAGTCAGCGGGAGCGTAGGCAGAAACGACAAAAAGGCAACGACGTGTGTCCCTATCCTTCCGAGTTCTTACGTAGCCGTTCAGCCGAACGGCACATAAACGACTGTTGACGGGGATCCACTCTAGCAGTGTTTGTTCCGCCCTCATGCTTAGTGCTATGCCTACACCTGCCAGTCCACGAGAACTTGCCATCGGGTCACCAGATACACGAAAGGTGTATCTTGTTGGCTCTCCGTTTTGCCGAGGTGAGGTCAAGTGAATAACCACACTGGAATCCTG